AAATAAGAATTATGATTTCGACTGAAATTAAGCTGATAGATTTATTTGGCTGGCTGGAGTTTAAGAGACTAGTATCATCAGTCAAAAAAATTTCACACATTATGTGATCCCAGGAAAAAAAAATTTCGCTAAGGAAAAATCTTTTGCTATTAGATTAGGGTTAGGGTTAGATATACTTTTAATTCAGTAATTAGTAAGCAAAAGGAAGTTTTATAGCCAAGATTTCGAGTTACAGGCGATTATTGAATTTTTTTCGTTCCTTGAACATTTTTCACGTTACACCTGGTCTCAAAATTTGATTGGCTAGCGAAAATTTTTAGATTGGTGATTTTATGGATGTTGCTGGAGTTAGGAGTATTGATCTGGCAGGAGTTAAGAGATTAATTCTAGCCAGAATTATGAGCATTAATTCCAGCCAGAATTAAAATAAATAAGAATTATGATTTCGACTGGAATTAATAGGTTAATTTGGCTGGAGCTAGGAGTATTGGTTCCGGCCAGAGTTAAAATAAATAGAAATTATAATTCTGACTGGGTATTAATTTCGGCCGGAGCAAAGATAATTTTTAGATAATTTTTAAATAAACAGAAATTATAATTCTAACTGGAATTAAGATAATTTTGATAGATAATTCTGGTCGATCGAGAACGAACTAGGAATGTTTTGAACAATACAGACTTAAAAATCTTTTTATTAAGGGTCTTCAAAATTTGAAATAGTTTTGATTTAATTAGTCGACCAAACGCTCCCACCATAATACCTACTTTATATTTTAGTATTTTAGTAAGTATGCTTTTGTTGTGAAGAAACCCACTTTTGGTAATATTTTTCAAAAGATGTAGTATTTTTCACATTTTTTCTCATGTATTCTTCAAATTTATCTATTTCTGGTCCATCCATTCCTTTAGATATTGCATATTTATAGGAAAAATATTCTATTATATGTTCAATAATCCGGTTTTTTCGCAATAATAAAATGGAAGAAATTTTCTAGTTTTTTGATCAAATTTTTCTATGAAATCATATTTAATGCCTGATGATTTACATACTATTAAATGATCATAAATTTCATTATTGTGGTGTGTAGGATTAGATGGACGCATATGATCTATATAATATTGAACTTCATCATATAAATCTAAAAACTGATATTTTTTTTGATTTTTTTATGCCAGATGATAAGATAATAAAAGTATTCTTTAAAAGAGATCCGAACAGTAGAATATTTGGGGAGCCTTTGCAAAGTTTTTACATCGAAATTATTTTTTTGTAATAAATTAATCACCATCAAATAGTAATCTTCTTTTTCCTCTTTTTTCTCATCCTTATTTTTATCTTTACTCTCATTAATCTCCTCTTCTTTTGTTTTTGTTACATTAAGCATGATTGATAGTCAGATAATCGTATTAATAGAAATGCTTGATGAAATCAAAAAGGAAGGAATTTTAAAAACTTTTTATAGAAAATTACTAAAGTAAGATATTAAATATTCTTTTTATTTATCAAGTAGGCATTTTTTATTTTACGATTAGATAAACTTCAATTAATTATTGAATTACGTTAATAGAATTTGAATCAGAATTTCTATTAAATTACGTAGAACATAATTTTCTTCAGAAAATCAATTTTTGTATTGTGTTATACTAATCTTATTCTAAATTGTTATATGTAAAAAAAATCAATTTTGAAAAAATTGTCAATTTCGTCCCTTGTTCAGCACCTAGCCCATTTATGTAAATCTTTAAAATTCACTGATCAATTTATTTTTGATGCTTGAAAATAAGAAAGTATCAAAAAAAAAATTTTCTTTATTTTTAAATTACCAAATCGCCTACCTAAACTTATATAACACGGCATCCAGTTCAATAATAAAAATATTATATTCAGGCTATGTATAAATAAAAACTTATGATTATTATTAGTCATAATTATTAAATTTGGTTCTTGTCTTTATTAAAAACTAAATAAATATTGGATATGTGAGGTGACGCACTCGCGTAAAAGTAGCCATGGTTGCGTAGACGTAGCCATGTGAGTGTAAACGTAGCCGTTGGAGCGTAAACATACCTAAAATTTAGAATGTATATAAAGGGTTGCTCTCGCCCTTTAGTTTACTATCTAATGTATTTAATATGTGCTCGTCCCTAAATAAAGAATACATAAATAATACACTTTTTTCTATAATAAATGCCTAATAACCATGAAATACGAATCCCTTATCTTTCATCAAGATCCCGCATCCTTTCTCATGTCAACCATCGGAGTTAAACTCGACATGATTAATGAAGCTCTCCCATACGATGGTTACACTAGGGTTCTAACTAAGAGATCCGTGATGTAGTCTAGAGCTCTAATTGACCCTAGTTACTCAGACCAAGTCTTTCCACACCTTGATCGAAGCCTTACATTATTAGTGTTTAGTTAGATTAGTTTAGTTAGTATTTAGTGTTGTGTTATAGTGTAGTATCTGTGTTGTCCAGACTTCAGAGTATTTTTGACATCTTCAACGTACTTGATGTTGACATTCGTCTGAAGCTGCAACTTCAGGAGTTTAGAGTTGCATTTGATTATAATTGACTTTCGAAATTAAATTTTTTTTGCACGCATTGGTTGATAACTTTAAAACAGGTGCAATTTTGCATGCTTGAAACTGCAACTCCTGGCAAGATACCTAATTTTTGAAAATCGTATTTCCTTAAAATAGCATAGTTGGTTTCAAAATAACGCCCATGTGCGTACGCACACCCATATACTAAAAAGCCCCTAGCTGACCCACAAAATTTTTTCCACCCCTTGTAATAACGACCAATCGAATTTCAGGATCAGGTGTAAC